CGGGCGGCGGCCGAGGAGGCGGCTGCTGCTGCTGCCGCTGGTGGAGGCTCAGCCTCCCAAACGATTCCAGAAAACTGTCCTCCATGGGGAGGGGGCTGGCGGTGAGGGCCCTGGGTTCCCTTCCTGAAGTCACGGTCTTGGCCAAAGCTGTTGTTTTTGTGACTCTCCGGCCATGTGATAGATGGAGGGGCGGGCGCTCGGAGCCCAGCCCCTCCTTCGCAGCCGCGCGAACCGCGGGAGGGGGCGTCTCTACCTGCGAGGCCGGGGTGCTGGGAGACTGACAGCCAGGGAAGCGTGGGTGACGCAGCCCCCAGCGCTCCCGCCTGCCTCCCACTGTCTTCCGCTGTCCTTCCCGAGGGAAGGGGCCCGGCCCGGGGACACAGTGGGAGGTTTTCCTGAAGTCACTGTGGAAGAAGCCCAGCCCACTGTTTCAGCTCTGCCTCCCTCGTCTCACTTCAGACAGGCCTAGACCTTGAAAGTAAATAGTTTCCGTTGGCGATTAAAGAATGTGACAAGCACATCTGAGCAGTAACAGAAAAGGCCATTGTCTCCCCTGCTGCGTGTGTACCAGCACCTAGCTGGTGTCCCAAGCAAGGGCTGATGCACACTCCTCCAGGGTGCTGTACCGTTTCTTAGTACCTTTATCGGCCTGCCAAACTATCCTTAGAAAGCTTTACTTAGCTTTAAGTCTCTTGTTCCTTAGGTATCGGGTGGATTTAGGGGGCTGCATAGATACTTCTCGGCTGCCACATAACAGGGGAGAATGTCCTGGGACTGTTTGTAGAAAACCAAGTTCGAGTTGCAGGAGTTGGCGGCACCCATTGGTAGGCACTGGTTGTGACTCTCCAATATTTCGCTATAGAAGCAATAGGATGAGCCTGGGTTTTGGAACGAAACAGGGTGTTCAAAATTTGCATCCTAGAAAATCCGAGATATTGGTGACTTTAGCTACAATTACTGTGAAACGAAAACATTTTATGTCTGGCACGTAAGGCAAGGACATTATGAAAAAGAACTGTGGGGAAAGTCCCTCTAAGACTTAGAATCTAAGTTAAAGATCAGAGATTTCCCGACCAGCGTTAGGAAGGAGAACTGCCTGGCGATCTCACTAGCTTTGGGCTCCCCTTGGGTTGGGGTGTGAGAGGGAGGCAGGCTGCTCTCCCTGGGAATTCCCCTCCCATCATGAAGCATGCTTCCTTGGTCCTTAGAAATGCAAGGGCGTCTGTGCATGTGTGCATGGTGACAGAAAGAGTGAGGAACAGAGAGGAGATGTTCGTCATAGTAGCAGTGACCTGCAGAGTTTATACATCCCTGATGTGTGGGAAGTGAACCTAGAATCACACACCTTAGCACATCCTTAGCACACCTTTTCAAACACGGTTTTGCTCAATCTCAAAGACTACCTTGCTCACTCCAATCCCCCTCTGTCCAGTAAGGCACTACTAATCACAGGAGGCCATAGAGTGTGGGGATAGAACAAACCAGGACTAAAACACATTGAAGCCAGGCGCACGCCTTTATTTCCAGCACTCGGGAGACAGAGGCAGGGGCATCTCTGTGAGTTCAAGGCCAGCTTGGTCTACAGAGTAGGTTCCAGAACAGGCTCCAAAGTTACACAGAGGAACCCTGTCTCGAAAAACCAATCCCCCCCCCCTCCAAAAAATGAGAGCTGAGGAGATGACTCAATGGGCAAGAATGATTAATGGGCAAGCATGAAGACATGAGTTCAAATCCCCAGTCCCCATGAAAAAAAGAAGGGCATGGCTGCACACGCTGAAACCCTGGTGTTAAGAGGAGAACTCATTGCTCAATTAGCCCAGCAGCTACAGCTACAGCTTCAGTGAGAGAGCCTGTCTTAATGGAGTAAGGCAGAGAGCACAAGGAAGACACCTGGTGTTCTACAGGCATGCACCTGCGCACACACACACACACACACACACACACACACACACACACACGGGGAGGGGGGATGGAGAGATGGCCCAAGGGGTAAGAGCAGCAACTGGACTTGTTGGTGACTTACATCTCCTATTAGAGGGGTGGGGAGAGTTGTGATCCCTCACCTGTGTATTCATCTTCCTACTACCTGCTGTAAGCAACCCTGTCCTGACAACATGCAACCCTGGGGAGGGGCTGGAGGACACAGGCCTGGAAGACTAGTGAGGGGGCTCCCTCTGTTCAGCTGTGGGAGAGCCCTCAGCCCTGCTGGGTGAAGACTTTCTGGTGTGGTCTTCTAGGGAAGGCAGCTCTCACACCCAGCAGGGAACCACTCATCTCTGCCCTGTGAGAGAGACCAGTGAACTCCCTGGATCTCCAGAGTGGGCATTGGCGGAGTGGTGGCTCAGTTTGTTGTTAGGGTCTTAAAAGGAGGAATAGATGTTGCTGGTGTCTCCCCTAGTGAAGGAACTTTAGCAACAGGATCTAAGGCCCTTCTGGCCTCCGTGGACACCCAAATGTGTGACACACACACACACACACACACACACACACACACGAAGATCGAAAAATACAAGCCAGGCATGGTGGCACAGGCCTTTAACCCTAGTACTCAGGAGGCAGAGCCTGGTGAATCTCTCTGAGTTCAAGGCTAGCCTGGTCTACAGAGTGAGTTTCAGGACAGCCAAGGCTACCCTGTCTCAAAAAACAAGACAAACAAACAAAACAAAAACAACAATAAACCCAAATGGACAAAAAATGATGTGGAAAAACAAGAAGTACAGTGCAAAAGAGAAACCGGGCAGACAAGCCCTCTGCAGGAGCCCGCTGTGGGTATCCTACCTGGCCCCACCCCTACTCACTCTTTTGTAAACTTAGGAGGTTCCAGGGCCCAGATTCAGTACCACGGCGTGTCCAGCATGCCCTCACTATTGAGCACACCCCTAGCACCGTATCTTATTCTCTTGCAGCCAGACACCTCCCCAGAACTAAGAACTGCATCTTCTATTTTCGTAGCACCCGCTGTCTGCCAGAGGCACAAGGACACTTGGTGTGACTGCACAAGATACCCACGGAGGGGAGTAGTCCTTAGCCATTATGCTAAAGCTTCTTTCTGCAAGTTAGACGGGATAAGTGTGGGGAAAGGTATTGAGAGCTACAGCATTCCAGAACCCAGCATACGGCTTGCGGCCAGTGGCCGGTAAGCATTATTAAACCATAAAGATGGTCCAAACTGGTAGCTGCCCCCACCATGCTAGCTGCTAAATATTCCCAGTACTTTCCTTAGAGACACAGCTATAGTGGAGTGGCTGCTAACACGTTCACTAGAAAGCCACAAATGTTTTGCTGTAAACAAAGAAAGAATTTTCCAGATGCCTATCTCCTCCCTGGCTGGTTGGCTGGCCCTCCTTCTAACTCTGCCTCCCTTCTGGCTCTTCCCTCATCCCTCTTCTAGATGACTGAGGGAAGCTGTAGGAGGCAGGGGGAGGCTTGGGGACCACAGGGCTAGTTTCAATTAAATTAAGCACATTTAGTCGTAGCTAGTCGGGAGGCTGAGACGGAGCACTGAGAGTTCAATGACTGCCTAGGGAACTTAATGAAAGTCTGTCTCCAAAACAAGACTGCGGGAAGGGAACAAGGACAGACGGGGGCAGATCTGTGCTGCCAGGATCCTGGGTCCCGGCCGGGTATGGGCAACTTTTGGTTTTCTTGGCCTTTGGGGAATTCAGAGTACAAACAGAGGGCACCAACTCTGGCTCCAGTCTGGTACCGTACACTCCAAACCGCACAGGCCAACACTGAGGAGGCCTGAGCTACTCTGAGAAACTGACCAGCATCCACCAAAGATGGCAGCTTGAAGGCAGGGTTTAACTTCCTTCTTCCTTGAAACCTCATTGAGGTGCGAAGGAAGCTGCTCTAGGGTGTCCCCGGGGCTCTGGTTGTTTTGTTGCTGTAGTCACTTTAAACAGAAGCTGGGGAGGGCTCATAGCAACAGGAGTCTAGAAACTAGGCAGCAAAGGTCAAATGCAGATTGATCTGATCAAAAGTGTCCTAAGTTAGAGAGAGCCAAAAATCACAGTTCATCCAACATAACCCCAATATCCAGGTACTGGAAGGTTTGGGGTGTGGGTGGAGCTTAGACTGCTTCAAAGTCCAGTCAAGAAATAGAGCTGAAGGCTGAAGGTGTGGCTGTGCACAGAAGGCCCTGAGTCCTCCCCCTCTTCGCTCCCCCAGGCTCTGAGGGCTGTGCACAGCAGGCCCTGAGACTCTCCAGCAACAGAACACACACACACACACACACACACACACTGCATCTAGAGAGTTATTAAGCAAATGTCTGCATGTTGGATAGTGAGGATGAGGAAGTGGACAACCACATTTCTTCAAAAATTAAGTACAACTAAATCAAAAAAGAATAAAATACTAAAAGTAACCTCTAGTTACATGATAGGTCCCATGATCTCTAAGCAAATTCCTGGAGGTCCAGATAGTCTGAGAACTCATAAACTGTTTATTTGTTGGGTGAACTAATACAGTATAAGAACAAACATTAGGTGGTGGTGCACACCTTTAATCCCAGCACTTGGGATTCAGAGGCGTGCAGATCTCTGTGATTTCAAGGCCAGCCTGGTCTACAAGAGCTAGTTCCAGGACAGGCTCCAAAGCTACAGAGAAACCCTGTCAGTTTAGGTCAGACTTACTGACAAGTTAATTTTAATGTAACACGTAACTCAAAAACAGAAAGTGGACGCTGGGGTGAAGGCCAGGACAGGAAGCTATGGCTGGATGAGGACGTTGAGGGCTCACAAACTGACAGAGGTGGTGGCCATGACAGTGGGTGCAGTATGTGTAAACTAACACGCACTTAAGCATGGCGAGGGTGGGGCCATGGAGAAGGGTCAGAGGTTTAGAGCATTTACTGCTGTTGCAAGGGATCACAACTCTCTGCAACTCCAGTTCAAGGGATCCGACGCCTCTTCAGGCTCCCACGAGCTCCTTTATGCACGTGTATACACTCATGCACACACACATAAAATAAAATAAACATTTTTTAAAGGAACGGCTAAGGTAATTATTTTATTGTATGTGTCACCATTTTTAAAGATTGGATAAACAAAATGACATTTGAATTTTGGAACCTTTTGGGATTTCATAATTCTAGAGTTGTGGCCACAGTCCAATATTTGCATACATGCTGTCATCCAAATCTTGGAGTAATTAAAGAACTTTCTGTGCCTCATTTTCCTCTGCAAAATGAAGCTGTGACAAAGGTCTTGGCATTGGGCAGGGCAGTGTTCAAACTCTTACTGCTTGCAAATTGTCTTTCATTATTGACACAACTTATCAAGAGCAACGACTGGAGTGATTATCCATGCCAGGGCTGGTGGCCAACGGGCGCACGCTGGAAGGACCTCTGAGGGTCAGCACTGGGCACCCGGGCTTTTCTCGGTGGTCAGGACCACCAGCAGCAGGGCAGGAAGCGGAGAGCTCCCCTGCATACGAGCGCACACCCGTGCAGACATGATGCCGCAGGAAGGAGTCTGTCCCCAGCTCCTCTTTGCTACCCTGGTCACTCTTCTAACATCTAGGACCTGTGTTGTCCCTTTCGCTCACTCTCCCTGGTTCTGCCCATCTCAGCTACTTCCTGTTCTCACTCCCTGAGGTACAGCTCTTTACAGCACAAAAGTTATTAATGATCATTACAAGAATTTATGCAAATGGTTAAGCAAGTTTCCTGGCTCAATATTTTCCTCTCCCAAGATCACATGAGTTCTATTCTGCCAGAGGGCTTTGCCCAAGGAGGTGTTGAAAGAATGGAAATGAACCCGTGTTAAGAGACCACTCCTTCTCAGGTACTATCCTAAGGACTTGGCACACTTATTTCATTTAATCCCCATTTAAAATCTCCACTAGAAAGTGATACTGTTAACTTACTTTTACACTTAGAAAAAAAAAAAAAAACCTGAGGCTGTGAGGAGATTAATTCTTTTCAGGTCACATAGCAGGCAGCAGCACCAGGACAGGGACACCAGAACACATTCTCGGTCTCAGCTTCTCCAAAGGACTGCAACTATCAACACATGGCAACTAGCACAGAGCCTTGTGAAGTAGGCAGAGACAGCCTGGGGACCTCTACAGCCCAGCCGGTTCTCCTTATAGCCGCCTCTTCCTACATTTCTATCTGCCCTTTAAAACCTGTTTGTCACTACATTATGACAAACCAAACCGGAAGGCTCTTTCTCATGTAACTGCAGTTACGCGCGCTGCTACAGACCTGGGACATGCTCAGGTGAGACTGGAGCGCAGCCAGAGCGGGGTGGAGGAGTGACTTCAGAACCAAAAGGAAAAGCATGTCCTTGTCACAAAACAGTCACATGCAGCATGGAGAAGAGACTCGCAGATGGGCCACAAAGCCAAGTTCACTGCACGTTACCTGGACAGTACCTCCTGTGTCATGCGAGGGCCACCTCACAGAGTTAGGGAAACATCCCCTAACTGCAACTCTGTCACATAAACCGCAGGGTTGCAAGAGGCTTGCTGCTTTCCCTTTAACATCAGGAGCAATGTCTAATATGACTACACTGGGGAACAAACTGCAAGTTTCATCCTTTCTCCAGAGCTCCCACACTCTCTTAGCACACGGATCTTATTCTAGATGTCTCTCCGGGTCTCCACACCCCTCCTGAGGACCCACTGCTGTCTTCCAGCAGAAGCAGGGAAAGAGGAAAACATTTCTACTGAGTATACACATATTTTTCACTGACAGTCAAACACAAATTATGCTTATAAATGAGTTAAAATTTTCGAAAAGAGAAAACATGCCAAAACACATGTGCATTCCTTTCTTATCAAGCGCAGACATGTACACACTGACAATCCCAGCAGATGTATTTACTTCATAATGTCAGATTCCGGGGAAAGTGTGATATATTTGTTTTAATATCACTCTCGATGTCAAGTCTAGCATATGACACAAGTTCTATCCAGGCTAACTCTTTCCTTGGAGCATCTGCTAATATACAATATTTATACATAACCTACAGTCCTAATTCCTAGCTCTGGTCACACATCAGTGGTGTGTGGGGGATCTCGCACACACTGTGTCGCCAGAATGCTCTGAAACGCGTTCTAAGTAATGAAATGGGGAATAAATCTTGGGAGCAACAACCCAAGCTTTGTTGTAGTTCACAGAAAGATGTGCGACTGAAGAGAAGCATTGAACATGCAATGGCACAGACACGGTTGCCATGGCAACAACTCTTCAACTGCAATACATCTGCGCTATTACAACCAGGCGATGTCAACACTCATTTCCTTCTGGCCATATTGAGGTCTCTGCGATGAGAAGTGCTTACAGCTCGAGGGATTTTCATTTTTACCAAGAGGCGTCTGCCTTTTCTAGAAATGATAATTGAGATACATAAGTAATGATTAATTCTCATGTGCAGGCATTCCTCAGACGTTGAAAGCAACATGACAAGCACAGTGCCAGTCTGAGCATGTTAAGCACTGCGCTCTGTGTGTGCACGAATGGAAACACGGCCTCCCCCAGGGCTAAGGAGAGAATTAAGCTTATATCGATGAGCAGAGGGTGGTGCCGTAACATGACCCCAGCACACGAGAGAGAGATTGGGCAGGAATATTGTTAATATTTGAGGTTAGACAGGTCTACAGAGCAAGGCCTCATCTCCAAAACAAAAAAGTAGCTTATGAAAAGGTATGATTGGTTTGAGACATAAAACAAATGTGCTCATAAGAAATAACTGTCACCCTTAAGCAACAGCTCTACATTTTATTATTAAACTTAATCTTTACTGTTAATTTCAAAATGTTCCTGGGGTACTTCTAGTTTTCCTACATCACTATTAATTAATTAAAAAAATAAAAAGACAGCGGGGGATGGTGCATGCCTTAAATCCCAGCACTCAGGAGGCAGAGGCAGGCGGATCTCTGAGTTCATGGCCAGCCTGGTCTACAGACTGAGTTTCAGGACAGCCAGGGCTGTTACACAGGGAAACTCCGTCTTTAAAAACTAAAACCAAACAAACACAAACAAAAAACAAAATCAACCAACCATAAAAACAAAGCAAAACAGCTATGTACCACTCTTCGAGTCTACTGAGTAACAGTCTGAGTTCTCCATCAGCTCCCTGCATAACGTGAGCAGTCCTAAGAACAGGGATGTTTTCCCACTGAGGACCAAAAGACCACACCATTGATAAGATGCCTTAAATCAATCAAACACAAATCTAACCTAACTTAGGACTGAACACAGAATATATGTAATGAATGATAGACTCTTCTGAAATGGCCACTTCAGAATGTACAGCCTTCAATATACTTTGAGAAGTAAATGTGTTTCTCTTAGGACTAATTGAAATAAAGTATGCATGTACATATACATATTCGTTTTATATTTTTTTCTTTCCTTTTTTTTTGTTTTGTTTTTTTTTCTAAGACAGAGTTTTCCTGTGTAGCTTTGACTGCCCTGAAACTTGCTCTGTAGACCAGGGTGGCCTCAAACTCACCAAGATAGACCTCCTCTGACTTCCGAGAGTTAAAGGCGTGTGCCACCACCGCCCTGCTCTTTCTCTAATTTTCATGAAGCAATCCTCCCAATTTATTTCTACAGAAATATTACCTAGGGGTGGGAGAGATGGAGCAGCAGTTATGGACACACACGGCCCTTGCAGGTCCCCGAGTTTGGTTCTCAGCACCCACTTCAGGCAGTTCACATTTGCCTACAACCCCAACTCCAGGGAGATCTGACACCTCCAGTCTCTGTAGGCACTCACATACATGTGCACATACACATAGTTAAAAATAACAGAATTAACTACTTTGAAAATAAATCTCTAAACCTAAACATATACCTCTAGTGGCATCTTCCATGGCAAAGGCATCATCTTGAGCATCTTCCAGTCAAAGGGCATCACATGGTCAGCAGGTAACAAGGATTCTGTGGGCGAGAGAAGACAGAGGACAAAACTCATCCCAAAGTCAGAGCCTCTATGAAGATAAAATGCTGCAAACCTGCCATCTGTGTTTAGAGTCTAATTTTGAAGGTTTCTCAGAGATGGTTAAGTAGGATTTTGTTTCAGACCTCAAGTAGTGAACAGTATTCAGACGCATTGAAAATCCTCATTGTTTGTCTATAAACGCCATCAGCCCAGATTTCCCGCAAGTCTATACATATCAACACACACACACACACACACACACACACAGCTGAAAGTGTCACAGGCACAAAACTTAGTCTTGCTTTCCTGTGATACATACAAAACATTATAACTATAGAGTATATTCAGTCTCCTGCAAATTGCTCCTTCCACATGTAAGTGTCTAAAGAATATTCTGCACATTTAAGAAGCTCATAAACAGGCAGGCAGTGGTGGCACATGCCTTTAATCCCATCACTTGGGAGGCAGAGGCAGGCAGATCTCTGTGAGTTTGAGGCCACTCCACAGAGTGAGTTCCAGGACAGCCGGGGCTACACAGTCTCAAAAAGCCAAAGTAAATAAATAAGTTCATAAAGAACTCCAAACATTAACACAACTGTAACACCCACTGGTCTTACTAAACCACGAGCGGGATCTGTCCTGTATTCACACAGCCCTATCGTCACACTTTGTTTCCACGTAGCCATCACACAATCCTGCATCTCATAGATCCCAATGCTACGACTCATGTGAGCCCCAGACACCAAGCCTCTGTCCAATCTAGCCAAAAAAGTGGCCTCACAGCCTACTCTTGATTCCACTTTCCCTTTTTGAGCACGGCATTTCTAAACAGAAAGGTCTGTCCTTCTCTTCCTGCACAGTCCTGCTCCTCGAACTGCCTGTGATTCACCTTCTCTTTCTTTTCTCTTTTTAGAGACAGAACTTCTACTGCGCCCTGACTGACCTGGAACTCTCTATGTAGAGTGGGCTGGCCTCAAACTCAGAGATCCACTGCCTCTGCCTCCCAAGTGCACGGGTGTAATTAATTTTTATATTGAAGGAACAAACAGATCCAGAATCCCATTCTTTCCTTTTCTTTTTATTTATAATACTTTATTTCATGTGCACCTGTGTTTTGCCTGTATATATGTCTCTGTGAAGGTGTCAGATCCCCTAAAACTGGAATTACAGGTGGTTTTGAGCTGCCATGCAGGTACTGGGAATTGAACTTGGGTTCTCTGGAAGAGCAGCCAGAACTCGTTTTTGTTTTGTTTTGTTTTGTTTTTCGAGACAGGGTTTCACTGTAGCTTTGAAGCCTGTCCTAGAACTAGCTCTTGTGGACCCTGCTGGCCTTGAACTCAGAGATCTGCCTGCCTCTGCCTCCCCCTCCCAAGTGCTGGGATTAAAGGTGTGCACCACCACTGCCTGGCAAGTACTCTTAACCTCTGAGCCATCTCTCCAGCCCCTGTGGGTGAAGTTTAGCAGTGCTAAAAGAGAGTACTTTCAGAGGCCCTGCGTTCAATTTTCAGGGTCACATGGAGGGTCACAACCATCTGTAATGATGCCCTCTTCTGGCATGTTTATACATAATAATAAAAAACCTTCCCTCATGGACTATTCATAATCCTGACTTTATATTATCTACTTGCCGTGATTTAATTTGTATTATTCTTCTCTCCTCATTTACAAACAAGGCAAGCTATTGATGAATAAGATAGTTTCTTTGAAAATTCCGGAGGTTTAATTAATGGATACTTGATTGTTTTGATGATGAAGATGACACTGTGTGTTTAAGAGAGGAAGAAGTTTAGGATCTTTTCACTAACATGCTGATCTGAGGCAAGAGTTACCAAGAGTTTTTAGTTAGGGACCCCTTTGATACGCTAATAACATCTATAGAGCTTCTCTCAGAAAAGGGATACAGAATGACACACACATTTTGCTTATGATTTCAGAGTAGACCTTAGACCAAGATTCCTGTCTCAAACATCAATTATCAAAAGTTAAAATTAATAATAATAATAATAATAAACAATTGTGTTTTATTTTAAAGTTTGGGCAGGTGTCTTGTTGGACATCTAGGAGCACGGCCAAGGGCATCAAGTAGTTAGATGTACTAATTCAGAGATCATAAGTATGTGGTCAGAAGACCAAGAGTTATACTTGGTTTGCTGTGGGATCTATTCAATTCTGGGCCTGAGCTTCTGAGACAGAGACCGTCTAGAGCATGGGGAACCTAAGGGAAGCAGGAAAGGGGTGGATAGGCACTGAGACAGCACAGGCCGAGAGCCCCTGCTAAGTTCCTCAGGAAGCCCCAGGAGACCCGCGGGGAACAGAACACCGGCTTCCCGACTTCTTAGAGCTCTGTACTCAATGAAGTAATAATTAACGGCAAACCTCTCTTCAGATCACTCTAGAACCTTCTCAGACAAACTTTAACAAAGTCAACGATTTTGGCAGGCTTGCGTCCCTTTATCTTTACCGTTCCGTCATTCTCGGTGTCATATCTGAGTCCCAGGACTGACAGTCACATGGCAAAGAAGGGACATGTACAACGTAGAAAGACAGACAGACATTTTTAAATATGTGTGTGAGGGGGCTGGAGAGACAGCTTGGTGGTTAAGAGGACCCAGGTTCAATTCCCAGTACCCACATGACAGCTCACAGCTGTATGTAACTCCAGTCCCAGAAATCTGATGTCCTCTTCTGGCCTCTGTGGAAACCAGGCACGCACATGGTGCACAGACATACATGCAGGCAAAACACTCATACACATAAACTAAACAAACAACAACAAAAACATGTGCGTGTATATTACGTCTATGCCTGGTACTCACGGAGGCCAGAAGAGGGCATCAGCTCCCTTGGAACTGGAGTTGTAGACGGCTGTGAGTCACATGGATGTTGGGAACCAAACCTGGGTCCACGGCAAGAGCAGCCAGTGCTTTTAACTGCGGTGCCCTCTCTGCAGCAGGGAAACTCAGACATTTACAAAGACTGCATGCAGACAAGGGATGGCAGCCTGATAGGTCGAGCATTGTTCACTATGGGTTTTCACTTTCACTGCTGCAGTGATTCATAAGATCAATACGACATGATGTCACTAACACAGGAGAGAGCCCACGACACAAAGTATTTATGTATTTTAAACTGGACTTTTAGCTCTTTGTTTTCTTTTTGCCTTTTGGGGGGGGGGGGCAGGATTTCTCTGTATAACAGCCCTGGCTTTCTTGGAATTCTCTTTGTAGAGAGGTTGACCTCAAACTCAGAGACCCGCCTGCTTCTGCCTCCTGAGTGCTGGGATTAAAGGTGTGCGCCACTATGCTGGGCTTGGATTTTTATTTTTCATGAATAAAAACGAGTTACCTATGGGAACTCCAGGAGATCCAAAACGTCTGACTGGGTGAAAGGCGAGCTCTTGTGATAATGGCCCATGGCACTGATGACTCCTGCGTATTAAATCCCGGCTGTCCTCAGCCGGTAGGCGGCGCACTGGCTCTCGGCCTTCCTGTGTCTTCAGCTCTTCATCCAGCTTCTCATTTAAAAACTGAGTATCAGGGGAAATCCTCAAAGAGCAAAGAGCAGCAGGCTGGCCACTTAGAACGTCTGAGGGGATAAATCTTCCGTCGGCTAGGGTCCTACCCATGCTTCTCTGAGATTTGAATGTCAAAAGTGCTCTTCCGTTGTTAAAAGATAGCATGCAAAAGCTAGACAGGTAATATAGCAGGAGCGAAGGGACAGGATTTTTATAAAAATACACAGCACACCCGACCCTGTTAAATGACAGGCGATAAGAACAAGGTTGCTGGACAATACTTAGAGAATCATGAAGGGCATCAAGATAAAACCACGGCAGATGACAGTCAGCGATCATTTTTTGCTTTGTCTCATCTTTATTGATCATTTTGGAAATATCTTCCTCGGCCCAAAACGTGTTCAGCTCATGATTTTCTGTCAGGAGGTCACATTTTTCCTTTGCTTCAGGGTTGGCAGGTGGCAAACTGCAAATCCTCCTTTGCATCCCTTGTGTACCCCTTGCTGATTCTAAGGGATACTCCGGGGAGATCGGATGGGGGACACAGGTGCTGAAGGTATTTGTTTCTGAGTTTCTGGGTAAATCTACCACTTCAGCTTTAGGTGACAGATCTCCAAGTTGCTTCTCCATTGGTATTTCTGGGCAGTTTCCTGAGACTGCTGCTCCTTCAGAGGTGGAAACCAACTGAATAAGTTGTTCCTCACTCTCAGGACAGGTCAGTCTCTGAGATCTGTTTTTCTTGGGTCTCTGTTCATACACGAACTCATGAGGTCCTTTGGGCCAACTGCCAAAATGTGGCTGACTCTTGGACCTTATCTGTAATTCTTCATCAGACAAACTAGCTGTAAAAAAAGCCCAGCAATTGCTTCTAACTCCTTGTTCCTTTTGTAAAACTTCCTCGGATGTTCTGGTCCCACCATGCTCATCCAGGCGGTTTTTATCCATCATCTCCGTCTTCTGCGTAAATGAACATGGGGTTTTAGCAAATATGTCCTGTGTGTCTAAGGCTGACTTATGTCTATTGTTCATATGCATTTCCACCCTCATGACCGAGCAGCCATCTCGGTCACATCTCCCCACACAAGAAAGATGCTGAGTGTTTGTGTGACAAGAAGCAGAACTTTCGCTTGGTACTGATGGTAAGGTTAGAACCAGGTCCTCCTCCTCCTCAAGGAAGCAGTGCTTAGGTGTGTGGTCCAACTCAACCGTAGACACACCGTTTTGGGAATTGTTTGAGATCTTTATGTCTTGCCAACTTTGCTCTTCGTTGCTATTTATATAATCTGCTTCATTCTGTAGGCTGCCAGTAAAGGGGTGCCCTGGTTCTCTCCCTGTCTCTTCAGAACCTTCCCCTTCACTCTGAGATCGACCAAGACTTCCTGGTGCAAGGTGACCTAAGGTTGCAAGTGAGTTCTCACTAAAACTGTTGTTCCTTTTCTTTCCTTTTCTGTTTCTCTTCTGTTTGGGTTTGTCAGGCCTGTACCCACTTTTCTTCAAAACTTTTACTCTGAAATATAAAGAACAAACAAAATGCATAACTTTTTCATGTAATATTAGCAAACTCTAAAATATGACTGTGCAAAGCTACTTAGTACAAGTGTGCCTGCATACTTTGTACTGATTTACAACCACTTGTTTTTCTTATTCACGTATGATCGAGTTTATTGTAGAGAAGGGTAACAGAAATTGTGGTTGGATCAAGAAAAGAGTTGGGCATACAATTAATGTGGGCCTTCTATCCACAGGCCTTAGCACCTGGCTATGGATCTGCCCAGTTCTTTTGCATCAGGAAGTTAGTCTTTCAAGTCATTTCCATGTTGTAGATTCTCTGGCATGTCTCAAAGTTCTCCCACTGGCGGTGGCGGCAAGGCTTCTTACAGTAGTGTCATCACGTCATGACGTCAGTATGCCCATCAGTGCTGAGGATGCTGTCCAGGATCCCGTATGCACCTTCCATGTTCTCCTCCTGAACCAGCACCATCCTGACAGTGAACTTCAGAAGTTTAGCTGTGGCCTTGTACTTCCAATCTTCGTTCTTCAGGACCTATAGACTTCAGCCGCAGCATTCCTTATAGTCACTTCTACCGACATCTCAAAATCTGCCGCACTAAATATTAGCACACGCTCATCGCATAAGCCAACAACTTTATGAAAACCTAATATTTATATTGAAGACAATATTCTGTGTGTATAGAATAGATATCATATTTGGTGATATTTTACATTTTAAAGGAATTGATGATTTTATTATAATCCTGCTTAGAGCGTAACAGCAGTTTTCTTATAACGAGACATTTTATAATGCTTTAGACTTGAAAGATAAGCAGTGGAATAGCCTCAGTATGGCAGACATTTAGTGGTTTTAATGACTGGGTTATTTAGACAAAAAGACTGACAATTTAGCTGCCCCCAGCACACTTTATGCAGTACTTACTAATGAGCATCGGAGTCCAGGTTTGGTGATATATTTGGAATTGTCTGGCTAGTAGTGACCCTAAGCCAGAGGTTATGCCATCAATTTGTGAGGTGTTGTAATTGTGGGGAGGCATTTGTGGTGGTCACAGTGACTGGCAATGTGTGACGATACATGGCACTGAGGCCAGTATGCTAACCATCCTATGACACACACTGGAGAGACACCCACCCAAGAGAGACAGAATTCTCATCACTCGCACTAGCAGTGCATAGCTGTTGTGGAGCGATCCTTTTGTACACTGTGAAGATGTGTCTTTGCCAAGGTGACTTCTGATTGGTTTAATAAAGTCAATAGCTAGGCAGGAAGAGGTTGGGGGTACTTCTGGGCAGGAAGAGAGAGAGAGAGAGAGAGAGAGAGAGAGAGAGAGAGAGAGAGAGAGAGGAGATGAATCTAGGTGAGGGAGATATGTCAGAGGACATGGAGAAGAAACAGGAAGTGCAAGATGGAAGAGAGGTAAAAAGCCACGAGGCAAAATATAGATTAATATAAATGGGTTAATTTACATTATAAAAGGTAGTGGGGGGTGGGGGGCTGGAGAGATGGCTCAGAGGTTAAGAGCATTGACTGCTCTTCCAGAGGTTATGAGTTCAATTCTCAGCAACCACATGGTGGTTCACAACCATCTACAAGGAGATCCGATGCCCTCTTGTGGCCTGCAGGCAAACATACAGGCAGAACTCTATATAGGACACTTCATAATAAATAAATAAATCTTTTTAAAAACAAAGGACAAGCCTAAGATATAGGCCAAGCTTTCATAGTTAACAATAAGTCTCTGTGTCACTTTTTGTGAGAGAGTGACACAAAGAAAAATCCATCTGCACATAGCTCTGCATAAATGAAGACAATACTTGACGTGCTGGGCACATCCACCCTGTGGCCCCTGAGCTGCATTCATCTCAGAACAGTTATCAGTGGAGCCCAACACAAAACTGCAAGCTTACTCCAACCAGTGTCAGGTTTTTGGGTGTGTGATTTTTTTTTTCTGTAACTCAACTGCATCGTTCTCAACTGTAAACTTTATAGACGGCACCATGTCTCATGTCCAGAGGGTGACACTTCTGAAAGACGATGCGAAGGACAGTATTTGGTCCTTTTCATTGGTCTAGTCAGCTTTCTACTTTGTCACATAAAGGCTCGTTTCCCCCTTCCACAGTGAATGAGCAGAGTCAGACACAAGGTACCGATGAAAGCCCAGAAAACCAACTAGGAGAGCAATAGAAATAGGTGCGGGCACTGGAGAGAAGGCTTGCTGGTTAAGAGCACTGCTCTCACAGAGGATCCAGGTTGGGTTTCTAGCACCACACGGTGCCTCACAACCTACTGTAACTCCATTTCAGCGGATCAAATGCCCTCTTCTGGCCTCTGAAGGCAGCAGGCACACATGTAATTCATATATTTGGAAATATGCATACATAAATTAACCAAAGTCAGGCGGTGGTGGCACACGCTTTTAATACTAGCACTCAGGAGACAGAAGCAGGAGGATCTCTGAGTTTGAGGCCAGCTTGGTCTACAAATTCCAGGACAGTCAGGGCTAAACAGAGAAACCCTGTCTCAAAAAACCAAATAAATAAATAAACAGAGAAGGGGAGAAGGGGGGATGAAAACACCAAGGATAGAGCAATAGAAAAATAAGGAAATATAGAGCAATAGAAAAATAAGGAAGTAAGCAAAGAGAAAAATGGAAGGGCAAAAAGATGATGAGACAAAGGCAATTGTTTACAGATTGGGCACTGATCAACAAGCTAGTTAAGTAGCCCCATCTCTCTCTCTCTCTCTCTCTCTCTCTCTCTCTCTCTCTCTCTCTCTCTCTCACACACACACACACACACACACACACACACATAGTGTGTATATACATGTATGTGTATGTGCAGGTGCACTTGCCTGTGAGTGCTCAGAGGCCAGAGGTCAGTGTTTGGTGTCCTATCACTTACCACCCAAGTTTTTGGACAAGGTCTCTCATTAGACTAAAGCTCCCTGATTTGGCTGGACTGGTTGTCCAGCAAGCCCCCAGGATTCACCTGTCTCTGCCTCCCCAATACTGGGGTTATAGGTACACCACTGTCTGGCTTTCTGTTTCCTTATACAGGTGCAGGGGACCCAAACTCAGGTCCTCGTAATTATACACCAAGCACCTTACCCACTAAGCCATCTCATCACCCCTACCAATATGTTTTGTAAATCTCCTGTGGTCCCTAATCAGTATTCTATGCTACTAACTTTTCAGAGGTAGGACATATGAACACCTTGTGTTCATTACACCTAGTTGCTGATGCCCTTGCTCATGTATTCCCACATGTTGGCTTAGAAATAACGGGAAGGGCAGGTAGTGGTTCCTGCCCGATTTGATTCCTAGTCTTAACTTCCTTCAGCAATAAACAGTGATATGGAAGTGAGCCAAATAAGCCTTTTCCTCCCCAAGTTCGTTGATCATGGTGTTTTATCACAGCAATAGTAATCCCAACTAGAATATGAAATTAGTAGCTGTGGGTGTGGGTGGTGGTGGAATACATGCCTACATTCACAGGTCCTGCGTAGGTTTTGTTCTGAATAAGCTGAGGACGTGACTGACGACAATAACCCACCATTGATGTGGGAGAATTGTCTGTATTTTGTCAATCATATTTTAATAAAATGCTGATTGGCCAGACAGACAGTATAGGCAGGAAAACCAGACAGGAAGTAGAGGTGATGCAATGAGAACAGGAGAATTCTGGGAAGCAGGGAAGTTTCTCCGCCATTCCTGCGCAGACCACCGAAGAGACAACATGTAAGCTGTCACACTGAGAAAGGTACTGAGCCCATGTGGATAAAATAGATAAGGATAATGGGGTAACATAAGTTACAAGGACTAATAAGGAGCCTGACCTAATGGGCCAATCAGTTTATAACCTTATGGAGTCCTGTGTGTGATTTTCCTTGGGACTTGCTGGCTTATTGGGGTACTGGGCCGGACAGAAACCCCAACAAGCTGGCCCTCATGCTACACACCATGCCTGTGGAGAAATGACCACAGGGACCAGGAAAGGAGGAGGCTGCCCTACAACAAGCAAACAAAACCCAATTCTAAATCTGGAAGATTGGGCCACTTATTAGAGCATTTTACTAGGAGGTTATCAAAGGGGTCTGTAAGAATTGAGTTTGGATGAACACAGAATATAGTGCAAAGTATGTGAAGATCAAAAAAATATAAAAGAGACATGTACCAATTCTTCATCGATGACACTTTCGAGACAGTGACGATGCTCGCTCTGTGGCCCAGGCTAGCCTGGAATTCTCAGCAAAAATTCTTGCCTCAGCATCCCAGATGATAGGTTTAGAGGTACAAGCTACCACTCCCCGAATCCACCGATGCACTTCAGAGTTACTGTCCTTTTTCTAGTGAATTGAGCCTTCTAGAAAACACTCATCAACCGGCAACCTTGTGAGGCTACTGTGAGGTAAGAGATGTGGTGGCAGTGGTGATAACTTCCGCTGGGGTACATTCGCCTCTGATGTAGCAGATCAGTAGACGCATTTTCATCAGGAACATGGATCTATCCAGTGTGAGAGGCTCATCAGAGCTGCGTCAAGGCTTGTTAAACCTGCTGACTCACTTAGGATGAATGGCCCTGTTAGCAAAGAAAAGCATCACTAAGCAAAAGTGAGTCATAAGCAGGAAGTTGAGAGAGCTGAAGGCATAGGCTGGAGCCTTGAAAGGAAGGAAGGAACAAGAAATAAGCAAGGTAAACACATCTGTGATGAGTAAGACTAGATGATGGCTCAGAACCCAAGCTCGTGGGCAGGAGCACAATGTACTTCTCAAGAACTTGGAGGGGTGGTTCTCAGAGGCGAGCTAACCTGACCAAGGGAACCTGACCAGGACACGAAGGTAAGAGAGCATCCAGATGAAGCCCAAACTGACTACGGAGAAAAGCAGGCAAAGCGAGAATAGAGAAAGAGAGTACGTAATGATTCCATGAGACAAAGGCATGCCTTCTCCCCAGTCTCCTACTGCAGAACCCTACACACCAGCATCTCCAGTG